TCAAGGTCCGCAAGCAAGGCAACAGTTACCCAAAACGGGGGCCAGGGCCCTGAAGGTCCCCCTTTTATTAAAAAATGAGCTTCTGACTTGGGTTGCATGGGACGTCAGAAGGTCACCTTACCTGTCATGGAGATGCCTGCCCAGGCCACACAGGTGCTCTGTCTTAGGTTGGTGAGTGCCCCCCCCCAGGTATTACCTGTCTCTGAATACTCATTATCATACCGGCTCAATCATGTGTGAGCTGCATGGTTAATTGCTGCCATAACCCATTTTCTTCATCCATCATCTGCTGACAGGCACGTGTGTTGACTTCCTGTCTTGGCTATTGTGAGAAATGCAGCAGTAAGCATGGGAGCAGAGATAGTTCATCACCATGATGACTTCAACTTCTTTCACATATATTCAGGCAGGATAGCAGGATCACATTTAGTTTTAATTTTTTAGAACCCCACCCCCAAACTGTTCTCACCAACAGTATGAAAGGGGTCCATTTCTCCACATTCTCTCCGGTGCCTGTCTTTTTGTGATTTTTAAATTGTAGCCATTCTAACCAGGGTAAATACCGAACTGTGGTTAGAGAGGCACATCAAATTTTAGAGTGTATGGTGGTTTGAAAGAAAATGGCCCCCAAAGGGAGTGGTACTATTAGGAGATATGGCTTTGTTGGAGTGGGTATGGCCTTGTTGGAGGAAGTGCGTCACTGTGGGGGTGGGTTTTGATTCCTCCTATGCTCAAGATACTGCCTAGTGTCACAGTCCATTTCCTGTTGCCTTCTTATCAAGATGTAGCCAGCACCATATCTGCCTGCACACCACCATGCTCCCTGCCATGATGATAATGAACTAAACCTCTGAAACTGTAAGCTACCACCTCAATTAAATGTTTTTCCTTGTAACAGTTGCTGTGGTCATGGTATCTTTTCACAGCAATAGAAACTTAAGACGAGTGTCTCAGCACAGTAGGGTTTTCATCATTCTTCTAATCTACTATACATTATATGAAGTACTAGAACTGAAGACCTTAAGTCTCAAAGTTTGAATGACAGGGAGAGGTTCATTCTCCCCCCCATTTCATCAGCAGGCATTGCATGTATGCATTGGAACATCCTACTACATCCTATAAATGTGTGCAATTATTATGTGTTAATAAAAAAAATTAAAATAAGCCTGACAATAGTGGTGCATGCCTTTTAATCCCAGCACTTAGGAGGCAGAGGAAGGCAAATCTCTGATTCTGAGGCCAGCCTGGTCTACAGAGAGAGAGAGAGTTCCAGGATGGCCAGGGCTACACGGAGAAACTGTGTCTTCAAAAATAAAATAAAAAATAAATAAAAAAAAAATTAAAATTCCATGCTGAGGACACAAAGCTGGCCAGAACTTAGCTCTTGCCTTCACAAGAGGTCCCTCCCTGGTGTGGCTCACATCATGTTATCATGTGATTCAAACACTTTCAGATTGGAAGAAAAGCCACCAAGCTCATACCCCATTATATTTACTCTTCATAACCTCAAGGATGAGTTCAGCTTCATTCAGCCTGCTCAAGTCTGTGTGCCTCAGAAGGAAAGGGAGGGCCAAACTCTCAATTACATAACCCCAAGTTTTCGTTGTTGTCATTGGTGGTGTTTTTACAGCCTATCACAAGATCTAAACTGTCCTGGGTGTCATACACTCATCCTACAGTGGCTCACAGAACAGCCTAGCAATGATGTTATTTAGTTTTACAATCTTATTCTGATAATAAATGATGTTTTTACTAAGCAGGTAAGGCACATAAGGTGCTTGGTAAAATAGATGGCTTTAAGACTTTCCGGGTTAAAGCTTTTTTTTTTATTTTATTACTAACAACATTAGGTTTTTCTCTAAAAGCCTTCTTTTGTCAAGATGAACTTCTGAAGGTGGGAGATGTGCCCTAACTGCTCTGATAAGAACAGATGAGCTGTGGCTATTTCCACAGATCCAGTGTGCATTTCATGTCTTTTCCACCCAACAAAGCCAGGAGGGAACACATGATTTCAGTAACTTGTGGTATAATGCATCTACATTTTGGGTTATTCTTTCTTAATCTTTAGGGATATAAACCCTAAATTCTCTGCTTTAAATTGAGCAAACACAGCACCACTAAATTTAGAAAACAAAACAAAACAAAAAGCCCCAAACCAAATTAACTAAACAACCAAAGGAAATCTGTGAGGTTTTTTGTTTGTTTTATTTTGTTTTGTTTTTAGAAAGAAATTGAGGTTTCTGGAACATATTCAAATCATTGAACTAGCAAATCTTTAATTGGGGGCAGTAGGTTTGGTTTTATCCATTTGGTATTCATGTTTGTTTGCCTAAAATGTATCTACCAAAGAGCAGCACATTTACAAAATGTAGTAAATTTGTGGTTTCTTCTGTCTGTTGATACTGTAGACTGTCCCTGTCTTGGCCATATGAACACTGATGTGGAATCTAATTAGAACCATGTTGTGATTCTTCGGTCAAATCAGGACTGTCTCATCAGAGGTAGGAAGACAGGCAGTGTTGATAAGGGGTGGGGAAACTGGCTGGAAAGCTTCTCTTCTTTGCCTTGGTACTGTAAGGGCTAAAGCTAACCTGTAAGTCGCCCTTGCCCAAGGACAGAAAACTTCCTGGAATGCTAGGGGTAGTTGTTCATGTACTATAACAAGTCATATGTCTTCCCTTCAGTAAACAAGTTTGGTTGCCCCACCTGCACAGGATGAGCTTCATTACAGGTAGGTAGGAGGTACATAGGCAGGAAGTACGTCAGGATGTATTCTTGTGCCCAATTGGACAAAGGTAGGAAGTACCATAGCCTTGTGGGGTTTGCCTTTATGAGCACCTGACTAACCTAATTCAGCAGCCAGTCTCTAGGAATCCCAAGTATGGACCTGGCCAGTGTCCATCTTCTTGGCCAATATTGTGAAGTTTGCTTTAATTTGACAATCATGGATTTGGTCTTTCTCCTCATAAATTTCCAGTTTAACAGTCCTATTCCAAGAGGATTCCAAGCCTCCATGATTCTCTATGGTCTTTTGTCTCTCTCCTTTGTTTCCCTAAATCATTGTCAATAGTGAAGACATTCATATGTACTTCTGAGTGAATACAGTGACTCAAATTACAAATATTTTATCGAATTGTTTTAGCATTGAAAAATAGCTTTAGAAAACCTTAGTATGACAGGCAAATAGCTAGGTAAGAGAAAATTTACATATGTGTAGACAGAGAAAGAAAAACAAGAGAAACCTTGGGTGTGTTGAAAGATAGAATACAAAGGCTGAAAAGTTTGGGAAATTTTGTGTCACATGTAAATCACTTCTTGACCCCATTCAGAGTCCCGTTTCAAGTTCATAGTTTCATTTTGTCCTTGTTCCTCTTGGGTATGTTCTCATATTTATATTTAACATAGTTAACACCTTTATGTTAAACATCTATTGTTATGAGATTCTCCATTGACGTTCTTATAGCGGCTGTCTTTAGACACATCTAAGGTTCACGAGAACATGTCCTGAATTAATTAATTTTATCAATGGACTGTTGGAAATAAAACAAGCAGGGTGAACCCTGAACCCGGAGAGACTAGTGTTGAATTACAAGCAGGTTCACACAGAAGTGTAGCAGTTTTTTATGGACGTGGCCAAGGAATCTTACAGTGGTTGGTAGCATTAGCCTCAGTTTGGATCAAGCTTCTGAACAGCAGTCACATGTACCATAGCATCGATCCTACAAAAACATACAGTCTGTTAAAACCATCTCAGGCCCTGGGTTTCAGAGGGAAGCTATTCAGCACACCATCTCTTCCATCCTATGTTTATGTAGTATTTAACGTCTAGGGCATTTTGTTTACAGATAGGCAGAGAACAGGCAATGTGAGGGGAAAATTGATTGGAGTAGGGTCATGAAATAGAAAAAAAGGATAGAAATTGAAAGCATTAAGGTCCTTGTAAATAGTATTTTTGTTTTGTTATTATGAGGCCCCTTTTCTTTGACTGTATTTATAAAGACAGCTGGTGTTCAGTAGGCATGGTGGTTCATGTCTGTGGATCCCAGCAGCTGGAAGATGAAAGCATGAGGATTGGGAGTTCAAGGTCATTCTCAGCTAGGTATCAAGTTTGAGGTAACCTGAGTTACAGGAGACTTTGCCTCAGAAAACAAGACAGAACTAAACTAGACTAAATTCACTCTAGTAGATCGTATTCTTAAGAATTGTATCTTTGGCCGGGCGGTGGTGGCGCACGCCTTTAATCCCAGCACTCGGGAGGCAGAGCCAGGTGGATCGCTGTGAGTTCGAGGCCAGCCTGGGCTACCAAGTGAGCTCCAGGAAAGGCGCAAAACTACACAGAGAAACCCTGTCTCGAAAACCCAAAAAAAAAAAAAAAAAAAAAAAAAGAATTGTATCTTTGGATCTAACGATAGTGCTTGCTGCGTATTGGTTGCCTATAAAGCAGACTTTAAAGCCATGATCTTTTAAGTTGCTACATGACCTAAAATATAAATAAACAAATAATCTACTTTGAAGTCAAGTTCTGTTTTCCAAATGTCTCCAGAGATTAAAAAAAAAAATTCTTAAAGTTACACATAGAGAAAAAAAATGATGCCTTTAGATCTTAAATCCCATCGTGTTTGGTGGTGTACTGCTCGTTCATCTTGTTATAAAGGAACTAGACTCTAGGAACAGACAAGGGTCCCTGAGGTGGACAAGACAATTTGAGACTCCTGGTAAACCTGAAAGATACCACCACCACCACCACCACCACCACCACCACCACTAAAGGTCAATCTGCTATCAACACAAAAACACAACTCTCACCTCAAAGAGGGTAAGAGATAGTTTATTCTACTGTTAAAATTGTATAACCATGGCCCAGGAATTAGGCTTAATTTACCTCTCATCTATGTTCCAATGTAGATGCACTTTCACGAAATTTTTATAGTAACAGAATAAAGAAAGTCCTAAGTCGAGGTGCTTTTCAAATACATTGGTGGAAATTTGAAGTAGGCACTTACAAGCAAGCAGAGGAATCTCAGCTGCAGGCCTCAAATGCTACCTGAAGACTCCTAGACCTTGGGTTAAGTTAATACATTAAACAAAGTTTTTATCTGTGAGTCACAGTCAGCACAGAGGGCAAGGAATGTCTATTTAGAAGGCTAAAGACAGCCCAAGATAAATTGTAATTAGGCTCTGAACCTGCAACATTTCTGCATCCCACAGCCATTGAAGTTCCAATCCGTCAATCAGACTTTCAGGTTTCAGGTTGAAGATGTATCTGCTTTCTGGAAACTTTCACACTGACAACCCAAGTTAGAAAACCAGCAGAGAAAATAAAGATGTTATCAATGACAGAGTTCCCTGGAGAGCATGGCTGAGCGGGTCTTGCTAGTTTGGACTCTACTAGTCATGCCAAGTCTGTGAGTACTGGCCCACCGGGTTTCCTCTGCAGGCTTCTCAGGGCGATCACACAGGGCACCAGGAAGTCCAGAGTTCCAGAGTGTCCAGAGACCTGTTCGTCATTCACAGAAGTTGCTCTTGCGCCTGCGCCGCTCCTGTATTGTCATTCCCAGGGAATGGATGCTTTCTCTGTCTGGAACTGTGTTCTTACTTGCCCTGCAGACATGGAGTGCATCATCACAGCATTCTTCAGCTCCGGAGTTCCTCACATTCTTTCTCTCTTTCTTCCCCTGCTTGGAAGGCTCCATGCCGTGCTGGTCACAGGCAGCCTTCAAACATTTTTTTTTTCCCTTGAAAAATTTATCAAATATTTACCTTTTCTGTTTCCAGCCTTTAAAATAGATACGACAGATTTCCCTGTGATAAAGTTGATGTTGAGGGCATGCAAAGGTTAAGCACAAATGTAACCATCCACCTTTTTGCTTTCACTTTCTCCTAATGATTTATTTCAAATAGAGGTAGTAGCCTTAGTGATAGAACAGTAATATTGTCTGTAATAGTTTACAAATGCAAAAATGGAAATATATAACTTACATGCCTTAGATCAATATATGAAATGGAAAAAAAAACCCTTAATTCTCTATATTCAGGGGAGAAAAAATAAATTTAAATTTAAGTGGAAAACATGAAATGTACGAATGCTTTAGGAACATTGCATTTGTAAAAAAAAAACAAATAAGCAGAATATGTTTACTCATTGATTGAACCTAGGAACTTCTGTTTCCTTAGCACAGTGGTTCTCAATGCTGCTGCCCTTTAATACAGGTCCTCGTGTTGTGATGACCCCCGACTGTAAAATTATCTCATTGCTACTTCATAACTGTAATCTTCCTACTGTTATGAATTGTAATGTAAATATCTGTTACACAGGATTTCTGATATGCGGCCCCTGTGAAAGGGTCATTTGACTCCCAAATGGGTCGAGACCTGTAGGTTGAGAATCACTTCCCTAAAGGCAGTAGTAGTTGAATAGAAGCCGGCAAGTGGGCTACTGAGATAAGTTTTTCTCCCCTGGCTGGAAATGATCTCTTTTCTGCAGTTGCTTGTTGTCTTTGCCCCCCCGTTCACTGTGAACTGTGACGTGTATTTCTGCTTTCTTCTTAAATACTTTAGAGGCTGTCTTAGTCTACCGCTGGCTTGACCACGTTCTTCAGAGAAAAAGACATTTGCAAGCAAGATGCATACCAGATGTAGAGCATGACAATCCTGTCTGGCCTCTCATCACAAGTGACATTTTTAGCCACAGGTCATGCTCACTAAATTGGTGATGTGCCATGGTCTAACAGCATTCCTTGCATTCTGCACAGACCTGGCAATTATGGTCTCAAAGATACTTGTAGCTAAAGCTTTTGGACCTAGAAGAGGAATTGTAATGTTCTGCAAAAAAGTATGTCCATGGATGATGTGGAAGTAAGAAAAAATAAAATGAAAATATGGACCTATAATTTGGTGAAATGAAACGACAAAACTTGACTTGTGAGCAAAGAATTATCTCAAAGGTATACTTTGAAGCTCTTAGTAGCTTTGTAACATGGCCCGTTAATTATTTTCAATCCACCAGTCTTTGAAAACCCCACCTTTCAATTACCCTCGCTTTCAATTACGTGCAGAACTTACCTGAAGAAAACAGGCATGCAGCCTGGTTTGTGGGGCAGTTTCATCCAACTCCTTTGAAAAGAAATGTGTTCTCTGTACATGTTTTTTAATTTTTTTTTATTTGAGATAGGATCTCATGTAGCCCAGGTTGGGCTCAGACTCATTATGTCTAAAAATAATTGTGGTGATGGTTCACAACTGTGAGTAAGCTTTGAACCACTGGATTTAAAGAGTGGGTTTCATAATGTGTAAGTGACACCTCAGTACAGCTATCATTACAACAAATATATCTGAGAAAATCAGCACAGAATGTCACCGTTACTTATGCTAAAGCAGATTGAGAGGAAGTGCGTTTGTTGTCCTTCAGAAGCATGCAGGGTTGAAGTAAAGAGACCAGAAGTGGCAAGCGTGTTCCAGTAGACGCAAACTCCTGGTCAAGAGAATAGAATCTCTGGCCTGGGTAAGACTGATGGTTTTTTTGTGTCGCTCTTGCCCCAAAGGAAAAGACAGAATCCACTAACAAGAGTTTTATCAAGACAAAGAAAAAGGGAAAGATGTGATCAGGCCTGTGGAAGGACATGTGCGAGAAAGAGACTGAGGGAACATGGCACTGCCTTATAAAGGCCAGGACACACCTGAGTTTACACAGGCCCATGTGCAGAGATCACGCGGTCATGTCCACATGGGTCACGCAGGACCTATGACCTGGAAATGACTAGGCAGAGATGACTAAGTGTCCTGCGGGGCATGCATGACCATGGGGGCGTGATTAGAATTCCTATCAAAGACCTCCCACTGCAACTAGGCTGGTTCCGTTTCCAGGGACCGTCCCTGGAAAGGTGGGCTCACCTTAAGCCATGCTAAAGAGATGGGTGCAATAATTAGTTCTTCAATGGAACGCTGACTTTTCCTTCCCATGATACTCAGCCTTACAGCTTACCCAGACATGAAAGGCCCTTACGTCAGCCCCCTTTTCAAAGTTACCGAGAAAAGGATAACTTAACTTTTTCTGTCTATCTTCCAAGCATGCCACTTTGGGCTTTCCCTCAACATTTCAGGACTCCTTACTCTTTCTCTGAAGCCCCTCGCCCTGCCATGTGGCTGTCTGCCAGCCTTGTGTTTGACCTCCACGTCAGCCAGATGGCAGAGCTTTGCCCTTCTCTCCTGCGTTGTTTTCCTCCGGGCAGCAGCTGAGCTTTTACAGCTTGCCTCTCTGGTTTTCCTGTTAAGTTGTAAGAAAGTTGCCCTGTGCTTCCATTTGAGCCCATTCTTAAATTCTTTTCTTTTCTTTCTTTCTTTCTTTCTTTCTTTCTTTCTTTCTTTCTTTCTTTCTTTCTTTCTTTCTTTCTTT